CTCCAGGTGTCCAGGGTCCATCCGGTGTCCAGGGTCCATCCGGGTGTCCATGCCCATTCCGGTGTCCAGGCCGGCCGTGTCCCAGTGCCAGGCTGTGACGTCTACGCGTGGAGCGGCGCCTACAATACTACTACGGACTACTCCAACCCCGACAGTGTTCCTTCTTGAGAGCTGTTCTCTTGGGAGTAAAAATAACAGTGTTTCTGCCGTCTCCGCAATGAAGGTTGGCTGCAGTGTACCTCTGTTTTTTGTGTGTGGACATTTTACCTGATGAGGCCTCAGTCTCTTTCACAATGCCACTCATTTACTCATTGAATTGTGAAGTGCATTCGGGTTTAGTCAAGAATGACATCGCAGCACTCAGGGCATTCTCATATGCGCCCGTCCTGCAGCGCAGAGTACCGATGCTAATGGTGCCGGTCGTAGTCTGGTTATATGTGCGTTTGTCCTTTTCTCTCAATGTAGCGAGCCGGCCAGACCCTCTTGTCCCACCCTAATAATCAAGTTTCTCCTCTGACTTCGTTACTCGTTCCCAAAAGGGCCCTGGCCAGATCTACCATGTCATGTATCAGTTGACCACCCAAGGGTGCAGATCCAGTCAATCTGTCTGCCAGTTCATTCCCCACCACGCCGGTATATCCTGGAGAAAAGATCCAAGCATGCTCACTACCCGTGACCTTCCCAGTGAAGCTTGCCACTCTGCTCGAAGCAACCCTGTCTTCGCCGTTCTTAGCATGCTTTCAGAGTCTGTTACAATAACGACATACGCGCATTCGTTAACCTCTAAACCAGAGAGCTGCAAATTCTCTGGTGAGCAAGTGACCAAATCAGGAACAGGCTTGAAACTGATGGTTAGACAGAACAGTCAACGACGTATTTCCCACATTTATATTCCCGGAGGAATGGAACAGCGGGGAGCCTTATAACCGGGAGAAACATTTATTAGGGTTAACTGCCGATGGGGTTTGAGGATAGAACTTGTTGCTAGCCATCGATCCATCAGCGTCTGGGTTTCCGCCCTCAGCTAAAAGCCGTGTAGTGATTCCTGCACGTGTTCATCCACCAGCTGTTGTCTTGTTCCATATCAAGTGTTCCTTGTACCTGGCCCGGGTGGGAGTAACAATGTTCTCTAGCTCTAAGTGTTGGCCCGCCGGTACTCATAAAGATGCTCTGATCTTGGCCTGTCTTGACATAATATTTATACAGCAGACACTCTGGGGTCAACCGTGGTTGGTTGTCACCTGGAACTTTAAAGTCGAGAGGATATATTTCAGTGAGCCGGGTTTTATCTTATATCGCTCGGTTTCTCTCCGCCTAGCGGCTGATGCCTGCCTAGAGCATTGCGCAGAGCTCGAACTCAGCTATCTCCCGTGATGATCCCATGGAAGGAATTTCTGTAAAAACTACACTGTGAACCGAACGACTCAGTCTCTGACACGAACCAATGTACTTTAGAGCGCGAGGCAAATGGCTTAGCCACGGAGACCACACCGCCTCTTTTTTTTTTCCTTACCCGTTTCTCTGTCTCTCCAGAGTCACCTGGACATCTTCACCGGTGTTATATAAGAACAGTGCCATGATACTCCGTGCTGGCCACATTTAGTGAATAGCCTTCATCAAGCTGGAATTGTTTTGTTTTTTCCTTTTCACTTTTGTTCTCTGTACTAATTTTCTATTGTTGACTTCTTATAGTCCATGCCGTGTGGTGTCGTTGGTAGTAGTGTCTTTATCCACAACTTTCTGTCCGGTATACTTTCAATCAGTTCCGACACAGATGCTCCTACATGCCATAATGTCAGACTGTCCATCATTCTCTCTCTCGGTCTCGGTCTCGCTTTGCCTCTTGTCCTCTTCAACTTTCTGGTGACTAACTTCTTATTTCATTTGGCTAAAAATCAAATGAGCTGGTCGATCGCAAAACCTGACTCCTTGCAAATCTTTCTTCTGTTAGTCCATGCGATGGGACATTGTTATTGTGATGGTTCACAGCCATCATCATCATCGTTTTTAACATCATCGTCATCATCATTATTTAGTAAGGCCTCGCAGCCTGCTTCTCCATTCCATTATACCTCGTGTAATCCTATTCATATCATAAATGGTATTCAGTCCGGCTCCTTTGGCTTCTCCCATCAACGTTTCAGAGATGTCTTGTGGACATACTCGTTTCCTCAGTCCATTGGTTTTCAATTTCAGTGCCTGTTTGGCGATTGACTGCCCATTTCTACACAGGATGTGCCCTGTATACAACCGTGTTTTGTTTGTTTCATAACTTTTCCTACCAGTGGTTGTCGGGAAATTTCTCTTATTTCTTGTGTCCACAGCCTTACGCCTTGTGTATTTTCAGTAATGCTAATTACAATAACCACATCATTGTCTTGTAGCCTGTTAAACACGTGACATCACGGTAGAAGCGAACACAGTGACGTCATAATGATAGATTAAAGTGAGCGCCTCACTTTTGACATGCACCAAAGAGGAGAAGCGTTCTGTTATCCGTTTTTAATCAGTGAAGGAATGAAACCTACATAAATGTGTCGGCGAGTGAAGATCAGTTATTGTGATTCATGCCGGTCAGTCCAGCAAGTGTTTGAGTTGAGTACGAAGTTTCAAGATGACGTGACTTCGGTGACAGACTGTGCTTGACCTGGCCATCAATATTCAACAAACGATTTCATGTTCAGCTTGTCTGGCTTATAATTGGAACATACAATTCTTGCCCTCTCTGGCATTTGATATTTGTTTGTCTTATACTTTAGGCTGTTTGATGTTGTATAGTTTTAATTATAATTTATGATTAAATTATAGATTTTACGAATTTTTAACATGACGATACATGATTTAAGTCATCTTTTAATTCCGATCTTTCCACAGATTCGAAATCGGGAGCTCCGTTTCAGGTCTGGTCGCTGCAGCCTACGAATTCGGGAATCTAGTTGCAGTCATATTCGTCTCCTTCCTGGGAGCATCTCGACACATTCCCAAGCTGATCGGATTCGGAGTGCTGATCATGGGCATCGGCTCGCTGTTGTTTTCCCTGCCACACATCATCGCTCCCAAGTACTCCATCCGCTCCGGCATGATGGACAACATCACCGGAGAGGAGGGCATCTGCCGAGGCTCGGGCCATTACATGGACTCCGCCTTGTGTATCGAGCAGAACTCGGGCAACTGGGGTTATGTGCTCCTGCTGGTGGCCGCTCAGATTCTCATCGGCACTGGGTCATCGCCGATCATGACTCTGGGGATTGTTTATGTGGATAATCACGTGACCAAGGAGAAGTCGCCGGCGTATCTGGGTGAGTGCTGGGTACTGAGGGCTGGTTGTCGGTATCGTCGGGGCGTTGCTGTTAGTAGGGCGACAGCTTTGTGTGATTGGGAGAGGTGGGTTCAGTTCTCCACTATATATTAGTTTCTCAAAACAAGACGGTATTTCTGTGTAATAGACGTGCCGGCAAGTCGAGAGAGAGAGAGAGAGAGAGAGAGAGAGAGAGAGAGAGAGTGTGTGTGTGTGAGAGAGAGAGAGAGAGAGAGAGAGAGAGAGAGAGAGAGAGAGAGAGAGAGAGAGAGTTTGTGATACAGAAGAAGACAAAAAGTACCATTTCCCACACCTTCAGGTATATTAAGAATTTGGGCTAGACCTATATTTTATACACCAGTCGGCATTTGGTGGTTGATGTGGCCAGCACCACGCGGACTACCTTTAGTTCCGAGAACTGTCCTCGGTACCCATTTGAGACTGGGTCGACCTAGGAGTCAAGGTCGTTTTTTAAAGGAAAAAAAATCTGACTTCACCAAGACTCGAACCCACAACATTCGGATCCACAGACAAGCGTTTTGCCGCTTCACTAGGACGGCTCCCACAGAAAAAGAATCATTAGCTTTATTATCAGTCACAAATTCGGATCGCAGGCCCGTCTTACAGTAAGGTCGTTTCAGCCTCTCATCGTTCGTCTTTTGTAGAGCTAGAAGAAAAAAGAACAAACAAATATAAGGAAGAATGATGCATCATACTGGGACGACTCGATGAAAAAATTAGAATGCGGAGTAAAAGGGAAGGGGGATCCTCAGAAAGAAGGAATTTCTGTTTATGTAGTTATCAGTGACGACGAAACATGACATCAATGAGGACACACGGGGAAACAACAACACGCATTCCGAGTGATTGAGGAGATGCAGCGCTTTCTAGATAACAACAAATAAGACAGCAGTAATATAATAGCAGAATCGATTCTATATAAGTACCAAACAACATCACGACCAGATCACGAAAATAGGCCAGGTCCCGTATTTGGCTGGGCATCAAGTATAACGGTGGACAAATTACAGATAATAATTGCTATTTTTGGCACAACAGTACCATGGTAGGATTCATTAACCATAAATGTTAGCTGTACCATTTATTGCGAAAAGCAGAAATTAAACCTCTCACAGTATTCTAAAATCGGCATAAACAGTTGACGACATGTTAATGAGAGAAACGCACCTTTAAATATGGGTAATGTATAATCAGTTTACTTATGTTGGAAGATATATCTTTGTCTGACTCAAAGCCTGCATAAAGATCTACCATTCTGCCTGTATTTATCACTTTTTGTGGCGTAGGCTGGAGGATCTTTGAGCATGAGAACATTCCTCCTGACTTTACTGAGGGTTATAAGCTGAGTCTGCCGCTTGGAAGCCAGGATTTCTTTACCGTTCAGCCAGCCTGTTTTCACTCTCTCTTTCTCGCAGATGCACTTTGAAACTAATTAGTCGACTTTTACCACGTGCTTCTTGAGGGTGGGGGGGGGGGGGGGGGGCGCGGCACTGTGTCTGTTCTATTCCCCCTGTGAAATAGGGCCCTGAAAGCAGTGGGTCAGTGTAACCAACCTTCATTGTGAAGACGGCACAGATTGTTTAATGCTTATGGGCGGCTAGGAGGGTAGTGACGTGGTTTCACAGTGCAACCCTCGATGTTTACAAGATAGTACAAAGTAAAGCACCCTTGTCTACGCTTCCAAGCGTATTGGGCATGTAGGTTTAGACCTGTATTTTGTAGACAATCAGCACTCGTTGGGTGATGTGGTCAGCACCACACAGGCCGCCTTTAATTCCTAGGACTTTACCTGGTACCCGTTTAAAGAGTTCGACCTGGAAGTCAAGGTCATTAAAGCAAAATAGCGGCCCCGTCAGGACTTGAACCCACGATCTTTGGATCCACAAATGAGTGTCTGGCCTCTATACCTTCTACGTTTACCAGGGTTTAGTTTCCGCATTGGAAGGTTTAGAGAAAAATGTGGTTCTCACGGCTTTCAAACAATGGCACAACAGTCACATTGTGGAAGAGATTGAGGCCTCACTAAGTAACATTCCCAAAGTTAGCAGTAGGTACTTTGTAGCTAAACTTACATTATGGGGATGGCACAGTTTTTCTTTCTTCCTTTTTATTTTTTTATTTTTATTTTGAACAATAATATTATTTTAGTTAGTCCACAGTGTTTTTGTGTTTTTTTTTCTTTGCCCAGAATAAAGTGATTATATTCTATCCACATTCAGCATGTATGCACGCTTCTGGTGCCTTGGGTCCAGTATTGGGCTACGCCCTGGGAGCACTCCTGTTGCAGTACTATGTGGACACCTTCACCCACGACGTCCAGATGACACCCTCTAGCCCCCGCTGGATTGGAGCTTGGTGGGGAGGCTTCATCATTTGCGGGGTGCTTCTAATACTCTTGTCGCTGCCCTTCCTGTCTTACCCCCGAGTTCTGGTCAAAGAAAAGAAGCGGATACTGGAGCAGAAGACCAAGGAGGCTCTGCTGCCGGCTGTTGACGACATCGTCACGGAAGACAAGCAGTACGGTCACTCTATCAAAGGTATTTATGGCTTTGGTATTCTCGTAGTGTTCCCAGTTGTATCATTCTCGTTAAGTTATTAAGCAACCTAACACCCAGTAAGTTCTCTTCATTGTTCATTTTAAGATCGTCTTCATCGTACATCGGGCATGATCCCAAGTGCTCCGATCTCCGCCTGATTATGTCTCCGTTTTTTTTAAGCTAACAACTCCGGCTATCTACCGAATAACGGTCCCAAATTATCGAGGCAGAAAATATACCCTAACAGGGCCTCAGTCACATGTCAATTGCGCATTTCCAGGAACTATACCGCCACGGCCGAGAGTATCCCCTCACGCGGCGTGGATTGGGGCTAAACTAGATGGCTGGGACACGCAAGCAAATAAAATCAAGGCAACTGTAGGAAATGCGGTAGCTGCTGCTAGTGAGTCCCAGCCATCTAGTTTAGCCCCAATCCACGCCGCGTGAGTGGCGTAAGGGATACTCTCGGCGTGGCGAAAGTGCGGAATTGACACGTGAACCCTGTTAGGGTATATTTTCTGCCTCGATAATTTGGGACCGTTTTTCGGAAGATAGCCACAACTCCCATTATGTTCTAGTTGATGTAAGTTGATGGCGCCCGCATGGTTTTCCTGTCTCGCGGCTCCAGTTGGTACACCCAGGGTATGCACGTCTGCTCAGTGAAAAATAATTTTCCACGAAACTGAAAGCCTCACAGAGTTTAGTCTCTCATATGGCATTAATGATGTCTCTCGTGTCCATAGATGGCCCATTCCTGATTGTCGCACTGCCAGCCAGCGAGTCTGCTCTCACATTGCCTTTCACAACTGCTTGATCTGGAACAAAAATGGTGATTTTGCGAAACGCTGCATGCTGTATCAGATGAAGCCACTGTCTCCGTATATACCCCGCCTTGGTCTTCTGTAGTGAGTCGCCTAGAAAGCAATCATTGGTGAATTCCTGAGTTTTCAGCCATTCTAGGGTCCTTTCAGCCATGACCTCCGTTTTTACGCAGCCGGTGGTAGAGGCAAAGTGCTCTTTCCCAAACTTTTATTTAGCCATCTTAGCATTGCTGCATAATCTGATTTTTTTTATCTGTCCACCTTATCTTCGCTGCTGGCTGCGTGGATGTGAATCATGTTATGGGGCGTCGCAGATCGACCCAGCCCAAAATGGGTACCAGGATGGCTGTCCTGGGGAAGTAAAGACGTAAATAATTAAACAAAGTAAAGGACCCTTTTCCGTGCCATTAGGCGTATACGGCATATAAGGCTAGACCTATATTTTTATAGACCAATCGTCAGATCGCCTGGTTACTTCCCGCTACTTGCTCCATACTGTGATAGTTTAGATCAGGAGCTGGCAGCGTTGTTTTAGTCCGTAGGCCAAATTTAGAATGTTTAACCCAGTAGCGAGCCACGTTTGAAACATCGACTGTAAACATAACATTGAGATGTCCTCCTAACATGATATTTTTGTGGAATAATCTAAGATTGTAATCCCTCGCTACGCCTCTGGTCAGACACAGACACCCACTCAGACACTTTTATATTTTCCTAAATATGTCTATTCAAAGAAAAAGAACAATCGTTGTCTTATATTTTATTATCAGAGTCCGTCGACAGACATTGTCTCGTAATGTCTGATTGTGTCCGTAACACCAGGAATTTGGCCACATCAGTTTCTGGCTATCACTGTTTAGGTTACCACTTTGTTGGATATTGATGTTTTGATTTGTTTTTCTTCCTGCATTCGAACTTATGTGTTTTTATCCTGTTGTTTTGTGAGCTCAAATGGCCAGATTATGTAGTCATTTTATACCATGGGCCAATAAAAATTACTCACCGGGCCAGTTTTGGCTCGTGGGTCATAGTTTGCCTACCCCTGCTCTAGTCACTTACTCATAAAGGTACGAAGGAGATATATGCCAGCTTCAAATGCAGCTTTTATTTGGTATTGGAGATTGACAGAAGGTACCACCAGACAGCTAGACAGGCGCCGGAGTCTCAGGCTTTAGGCGCCTTAAGGTCCCCCTCCCCCCTCCAAGACATTTTTAGGGGAAGCCTCCCCCCCTTCCCACTAAATGTGTAAGTTCACTAAGCTGCCCCTTTTCCAACCTTAACCAGGTATAACAGTTTTTTAGTTTTTATTTTAAAATATATTGTTTCAAATATATTAAAATTAGTTGCGTACCCTTTACAGGACGTCGCAGAACCAACCCGAACATTGTTTGGCTGTTGTGGTTTTTCTAGTCAAATTCTACTTTCAGTAGTTTACCAGTGCTTTCTGAATCAAATATCTTGCTATTTATTTGTTGGCTGTTCAGAGCTATTATTATTATTGTTAAACAGTTACAGAACACATATGCCCATTTAGCTCTCCCATAAAATTTGTAAGGGTTCCCCCCCCCCCCCCCCCTCCTCCCGCGACTCCCCATGTTTATTTTCTGTTCGTGCCCCCTTCAGCTAGACGCATGATTACACTGGATAAATCTTCTCGATTAAAACTGTCGTTGTAAATGATTGAGTATACAGCTGACTGGTAGCATTGGCCGCAAGGGACAGACCGGCGCTTAGCTAAGTAGTTCTCTACAGTAACAACCATCAGTCACACACCACAACAGTTGCTAACAGAGACGGAGCACTAACAGCAGTGACGTGGATTTTGTGTAATAAAACTAGGATCAGATATGTTTGCACTTGCAAGCTTGCACAGTTAATTTATAATCTATAGACCATGCTGTGTTTATAAATCATTGCCCATTTTGAAACAAGATGCCTGTGTCGGTAATTGGATAACTGCAGCCGCTCTTGCAGTACAGTAATTATTCCAGGTCACCAACATAATTCTGTGAATTCCATGTTAGCATTCTGCCGTCAGTTGTCAACCTCCCACACAGCCGTTCCCACGGGATGATGAGTCGAGGACGAGGGTTGTATTTGCGGACAGGCTAGAGGCGAGACAGGATCCGACCGGCAGACTGTCCGACGAGTGTTTAAAGAAGCCGAGTCTAAGCATCAAGATCTGATGCTCCACAAGTCATCCATGTGTAGGGCGCTTACGAAACCGGGGTTTGTTGAGACAGCCTGTTGGCGCGGGGTGTGTTAACTTTGGAGTTAACGTCGGGGTCAGAGAGGGATAGAGAGAACGAACGAACGAACTTTATTTCGAAAGAATTACAAATTGGGCACGCAGGCCTGTCTTACATTCGACCCCTCCAAGCCCTCATCTTTTATACCCAGCAAAGGACCCTTTTCCACGCCTTTAGAAGTATTGGGGACAAAGGACTAGACCTATATTCTTTAGATCAAACGGCACTAAGTGGGCGTGTGGTCAGCATCACGCAGTCCGTCTTTACTTCCCAGGACTGCACCTGGTACCCACTCAAGGCTGGGAGTCAAGGTCATTTTTGAAAAAAGTCCGGCTCCGTAAAGGCCGCGAACCCATGACCTTCCGTTCCGCAGGCGGGCGTTTAACCGCCAACGCCACGTCGACTCCTCAGTTTTTATAAGGCAGTTATGTCTGTCTGTCTGTCTGTCTGTCTGTCTGTCTGTCTGTCTGTCTGTCTGTCTGTCTGTCTGTCTGTCTGTCTGTCTGTCTGTCTGTCTGTCTGTCTGTCTGTCTGTCTGTCTGTGTATGTGTGTGTGTGTGTGTAGGTGTATGTGTAGGTGTGTGTGTGTGTGTAGGTGTGTGTGGGTAGGTAGAAGAGAGAGAGAGAGAGAGAGAAGTAGAGAGAAAGAGAGCATTTCATGGATAAATATTTGGCCATGTGAAAGCATGGATAGGTGCGTCATATATTGTTTGATGATGAGTCTGGTTAGGGAAGTAAATTAAGTAAAATGGATTTATTCTAGATGGACAGACGTGTTATGTAGTAAACATTTAGACAGGTAGGATTGATGATTGTATATGAATGGGTGAGTAGGTATTTTTGGGTGGATGGGTAGATTTGTTGATCCTATAGGATATGGATCCCTCTTGTTGGTCCATGAGCCCCACGGGGGGGAGGGGGGGGGGGTTCCCCAGTGTTGGTAGCTGAGACCCATGGGGGGGGGGGTTCCCCAGTGTTGGTAGCTGAGACCCACGGGGGGGGGGGGGTTCCCCAGTGTTGGTAGCTGAGACCCATGGGGGGGGGGGGAATCCCCCTTGTTGGTCCCTGAGCCCCGTGGGGTGGGGGGGGGGGGGGGTGTTCCGTCCAAGTCGGGCTGCATTTGCCTGAGGAGCCAGTAATCTGTATACAATGAAGCCAGATCTGTAAAAGCGATGGGCACCCAAAACTCAGTTTGTGGAGCAATACTTAAGTTCATAGGTGGACGAACAACCCGAACTTTCCGCCAAAGTTTACAGCCGGTGAACGCAATGAAGAAAAAGACGAAAGAGAGCAGTCAGACACGCCTCGGTGATACACACTCACACACCGCTCGCACGCGCGCGCGCGCGCACACACACACACACAAAGTGATAACTAATAAAAAGCAGCGATATGTCCGAGAGAAACACAATACCAGCTGTGACCAGGCTACTAGACACAACCAAGAGACCACCAACACAACTGTGTCCCTATCATCAACAATCCCCCAGCTGTCACATCTTGTCTCCCAAAAGCCTCCGATGAATGCCTACATCCCAGATGTTGCTGTCTCCTCTGACCTGTTTGTGACTGTACGTTCATTACAGTGCTGACAATGTCAGAGCGCTTTCTTTATATCCTAGAGGACAAGGACGGGCTATGGAAACTACTGGTAATTAACAGTTGCTTAACGGCAATGGACGGTCGTATTGTATAAATGAGGATTTGAGTGTGGAGTTGCCAGATATGTGAAAGTGACTGCGTCCCACCCAGAGAGCCCTGTCACTTAGACATAATGGAAGCAGATCCAGACGTCGACACGATGGGTAGGTGGAAGATCCGAGGCTGTCAATACGAGCACCTACGTGGCACATACCAAAGCGCACACCTGATGCCTCTTCAAAATCTGACGCTGAAAGGCAATACAGGACTAAAGAAGATGATGAAGAAG